GAAGTGTAATTGGCTCTCCTTTTTGAATATTTCTGCTCCTCATTCAAAAAATCAAACGACGGCAGTGTTCTCGTTCTAAATTTTTTTTTTTTGTTTTTTAACTTCGTAAAAATTTTTTACTAATGCGATAGTATACAAAAATTGTAATACATTATAATAATGTGTTTGTTTGTTTGGTGAGTAGGCGACAATTCACCATAAATAAAATTTTGCATATATAAAACAAACGCTAAATTAACTATAATAAAAGAACTGCAACAAAAAACAACACAAATGGAAAAAAAGATGAATACCATAAACACTCCGATGGTACAACCGACAGATGGATCATCACTAGCAAGGCCAAAAACGGAGCAAAATTTGAAAGACATATGCAAACTTCTCGACGCTGTAAAAGAAGCAAGCATTTGATGAGAGCCCTACATACTATGTTTCGTGGATTCATAATCTAGGGAACATCGTGAGAGACTACGAAATAGTCAAAACCAATTTACTGCGCTATCCTGCAGCACATTCGACAGAAAATCAGAGGACCAGCGGATTCACCGCTCATTTCTCATAACATCTTTAACAACAGCTGGGAAGACATTAAGGCATGCAACACCAAATGTCCAATCTAGCACAAAAAAAAAGGACCATCGATGAGTTTTATGCCGAATTAATTCATCAGCTGTCGCTCATTATTAACAAAATCAAAAAAGAAAACTACGGCCACGAAACTGTCACCGTATTGAGCGAGACATGTCGCAAACGAGCTCTCGATGTATTCGTCAGAGGTCTTAACAACGATCTCTCAAAAATGCTTATAATAAAGCGACCACAGAGCTTGCCTGGAGCGTATTCATCCTGCTTGGGGATTCAGAACATAAATTACAGGAATGTACAAATACATCCCAAACATTCCAACAACGCAATTGTTTCTCCCGTAAATCAGCTATCAAAAAATGAACAAAGATATCAACCACCATTAGTAAACTACCAATTGGATTTATTGGAATAGATTTCCACAAAACCAAGCCAAATTGAGCGATAACAGCCCACATCCAGGCAGGCCAGTTCATCACAAGCCACCCATACCAATGAATGTAGACAAGTCAATAATGTTAAGAAATGTTAACTACATCAACAGTACAGTGATTGAACATCAAAATCTGCACAATCTGTAACCGGAAGAAGAGCAACAAGAATACGAAATCTATATTCAAAATTGCGAAGATTTCGATGAGCTGAAAGATCAAGGGGAGGAATACGAAGAACAACAACTAAATTTTACAAAAAAAACCAAAGAACCAGAGACCAAAAAATACTCAAATTCCTTATGGATACAGTTGCTAACAAAAATTTTATCAAAGCCGAACTGGCATTTCCTGTTCAAAAAGCATTCGTAATAAAATCAGCTGGAGGAGACATCAAAACAAGTACTAAAATTAGAGTTTCACTCTTTGACTTTATTGGCAATAGTACAAACACCGAATTTTTCGTCCTACCAGAATTGAAAAGTTCCGACGGAATCATGGAAGATGACACATTAAAAGAAGTAGAAGCAAGGATCGACCGAATTGCAACTTATCATTTTTTGCACTTTTCCAAAAAATTTATGAAAAAAAGTGCTTATTTTAACTGTATCCGTGGACATGTTTACGAAACTTCTACATCCTTGAAGATAGAAAGCTGAACTTTAATATATACATAGACCTTTACTAGAAACTTATTTCCGTAGAAGAAAATTTTTACCTATCTCTCCCTCTGGAAGTTATACCTCCCCAAAACCCTAAAAATGGCATTTTTAAACTATTTGTTGCGGTGAACCCATATGCATTTTCCAAATTTTGCAAACGCAAAAAGGTAGTGGCTTTCTTCTGCTACCGCGACATAATATAGTTAAACTTCAAAAAAACAAAATGGCCGTTCAAATTTACCGTTATCTAAAATCCGTTTTTTCCAAATTTTTTACCTCATTTTTCTTCTAGACCCCAGGGTGTGGGAGCCTGAAATTTTAGCAGGTTTTAGGCACTAATAAATAGTTCATTTCGTTAAAAATTTTTTTTCATCTCCACCCCTTTCAAGTTATCGCATCTTGAAATTTGTCAAATTTGAATTTTTAACGACTTATATTTGCGAAACCGCAAATTTTTTCAAATATCTATAAACGCAAAAAGTGCTACAATACAAACAATTGGTTTGGCCCAACTTTATTTGATAAGTAAAAATGATAAGTGTTGCACCAAAAAAGTTGCACACTTAGCGAACGTGACTTAATTTTTATAATTTGATAAGAACTTATCATTACAGTTTTATTTCTCATTGGATTTAGTTCTACTAAAAATATCAAAGTTTTATATTAATTTTGTGTAAAAAACAAGAAAAAATGAAACAAACAAATTCAAAAGAAAAAAATTTGCCACTTTGGAACTTATTAAAAAAAATAAAGTAAGTACCTACCAAAAATCAATCTTATATTTATATCTATGTATATGCAATAGCACAAAATATTTTTAGGGTATATTATTTGGATCGTTCCAAAACAACGCCACTACGAAAGCGAAAAAACAAAAAGTGTAGGAGGAGGTTGTCACCAAGGCGAAATCTTTGGGGCTGACTAAACCACACAAAGATTGGTGCTATGTTAAGCACATTGTCTGGCCAGCGTATAGTTTCATTAAACATTGAGTTCAATATCTCATCAACAGCTTTATACAATGTTCTTCATACAGTTGATTTATGTAGACCGCCATGCATGTTGCCAACAGCATGATATTGTCCTCCATTGCCCATAAAATGTGGAGTGGTTAACAACTGCTGCATCAGGCTTAAACAATGATTCCTTTCGCTATCATACGCCAATTTTCCACCAATTTATTCCAGATTATACTCAATTTTATCACGTGATAAACGAAAATTTTCTAATGTATTACAATCAAGTTCATAGTTTATTCATGGTCGTATTCTACTTTCATATGCTTTTACACCTTTTTCTTCAAAAAGTCTTTCGAACCTACTAATTTTTTAATTTAATTATATGTATATTTTAAGCGCACTTCTAAGCCTTACTCGAAACTCGATAACAATTTTATTTTTAAAGTACTTATTACCTTAATTACTCAATCAAGAATGATAGTTCTTGGATTCCGATAGTTGTAGTCGTTACGAAATGTATAGTTACTCAAAAGATGTTAGATCTCAAAGGAACTAATTATTTATTTAATTATGTGCTTTTTCGTTTTTCTTATTTTAAGTTTTATCTTATAAAATATTAAGAAAAAAACATATCTGTATGTACATACATATATGACGAGTGTGTGTTTGAAGAAAAAAAGTAAACTTAAAATATCTCACACACAGAATAGAACACAATTTCAAAGCTACAGATATACATAATACTTGCAATGCAAGCACACACGACTAGTATGTATATATTTTTGCTTCAGCATTTTAAATGCCAAATCGTCAACTCGTTGTGAAGTACATACATATATAAGAACCTGAAAACCATAGATTAAGTTTCCAGATTAGGTTTTACTTCTGAAACAAAAAAATTAGAGTTGAATTTACCAATTAAGAGCACTATCTAATACATTCATTACGGTTATATGCAGCTTGAAACTAATTTCAAACAGATTTTGACGCCACTTGACTTAAAATTTTCAAATTTCGATTGCATTTGCATATTGCGGATTGAAAGGTTGAAAATGACAAATCGATATAGTAATGCTTATTTTATATTCATTGATTAATGTCAAACTCTAGCCAATTTCAATTTTTTAATATTATTTTAATCTGAACGGTATTATACGCAGATTGAAATTTGAAGTCAAATACTCAATCCGTCATATAAATAAATTATCATCATATACGTTCATATCAAAAATGCAATTTGCTATTTTCTATGAATTACACAGATGACTCTGTAAATAGTTGACTGCAGCGCTATAGACTTTTTAATCATTATTAAATTTTTGTTTAGAAAACGATTTGTGTCTCGAGTAAGAAAAAGCAAATTCACTATTTGTTCTATCAATAACTATAACTAATCTAAGATTTCAACTAATTTCGTGTACGAAACATTTTTTCTTCTCTAAATTCAAAAACCTGTCGCAGAAACAATGGTTGTTTTGAATTTTGCTTTGTGGTTCATTGATGTTTTTGTATTTCAAATTAATTGCGAGTTATGAATAGATGATGTACGTTTATTTTAAATAGCAGGAGTGCAGATAGAGTTTGAAGGGCTATATGCTTATATGTACGTTTTGAAATAATGATCATTCTCCGTTTTTGATAATTCAGTTTTAATTTAATATGTACTAAGTATGTACCTTTGTTCGACATGTAAATGTGTTTGATAATGTTCATGACAATTCGTACATAGCTATTTGCAGATTGTTAATAACTACAAACCGCATATTGATGCAGTTTGTTTTATGTTATAGCTACAACTGCATGGTAATATTTTTAAGATATACGCCAACAATTCAGTTTTGATTTTATTGCAGCGGAAAATATTTTGTACTAAAAAAAAAATAAAGTCGGATTTATTAGAATAAGTTTCTTTTAATTTTGTTAATGCTTTAATAAAAAATTTATATTTCAGTAAGCTTGAAAAATAGAATCTTTTAATTTGAGGTTTTATTTTTATTTTAATTATTGAGTAAAATCTTTAATTTTAAATTGAAAATTAAAAAAACATGACAATCTTAGAATTTTCACAACTAAGAAAACTTAATGAAAAAATTATTCAAAAGCAGATAGGTACATACATATGTATGTATATTGGAGGTTTTTATATTAGAAACGAGAACTCTTAAGGACGAAATGAGCCTTTTAAAAATAAAACTTAATGTAGTTTGCGAATAACCAACTTAAGGTCGACTGAGGTCCGCATGTGAAACTTGAAAGTTTTTCTTTATGTAGTAAGAAACAGTAGATATTATAACACACAAACCAAGGTACTATGTGAAATAGAATTTCACTTTTTCTATAATTGAAATAAATACATATTTACTGTCTTTGTATCAACATTAACATAAAAATGTGTATTTCATATTGTAACTAAATATTACAAACACTATCTAACATTAATAAGCCTAATAATTACATTAATTTTTAATATTTGGTAGTTCGAACCCCCTAATTTTATTTTTGTTCTTATATTTCTAGATTAGTACATTTCAAAATTGCTTTTGCAAACAAATGTACAATACAACAGGCAAAATCAAGTTTTTTCAACTAGCAATCTAATTTAAATAAAGGACCTACTGCTCTCAAAAAATTAATTTCAAATTCTTTTTCCGAAAATCGGTCAACTGATGATCGTGCAGCATTTCTTATAGAGTCATTTTGCTCTTTAGTATTGTATAATATTGTCAGTATGCAATTTGCGTATTCAAAAGCATCTACAGCCAAAAATCCTGTTTGACAACCTTCTGATGTTTCGATTATATCCATGAGAGGACCACCGGACCGATTTGCTACAGTTATTAATCCAGCAGCCATTAATTCGACAACATTAATTCCAAAATGTTCATTCCACATAGTATGCAAACCTATTTTTGCAGTTTGGAAGTTTTGTATTAATTCTTGATAAGAAATATTTACTTTAAATTCGACGGAGTTTTCTAGTGACAAATGTTTACTTAAATCTTGCATATTTTTTAAACGCACATAATCCTCTTGATTTCGACATGACCCAACTATAACCAGTTTTAATTTACTCCACAATTCCTCATCTTTCACTAAAAGTGTACGCAATTCGTACATAGCTTGTAATTGTAACGGATGATCTTTTTCTGGTCGAAATTGACCAAGTGACATTATAACAATTTTTTCGTTATCATTACCAGTATATTGTAATTTCTTAAGATGATTAACTTCACAAGGTGGATACACCCTGTGAGTCTTAAATGTAGCTTCAAACAGGTTTATAATATGATTTTCTGTCCATGTTGAATTCACCATAATTGTTTGCGCACAACATCCGACATATGCGTACAACTAAAAATTTGAAAACAAAATGAATTTAAAAAATTACTCGCATATCTGTTTACCTTAGCAAAAGTTTTGTAATACATTAATTTCAACCATGTTAAAAATGGATTTTTGACGACGTAATTTTGATTGTTATGAGCGTAGACCCTACATTGTACCCTCCTTAACATATCCGTACTTATTGTAGGGTAATGTATATAGCAACCAGTTTTGCATTGAGCCAAGAATCTAAATAAAGGTAACGTAAAAGCATAACCCATTGTATCTAAATAAACATCTGGCGGAAATTTACATAAAGCTTCGAGACCTAAAATCATAGAACCAATACTTTGTCCTAAGATAGTAAAATATGGATACATTTGCGGCTCAACCCAATGTCGCTTTTTAAGATAAATAAACGAAGTATCATCTTCATCTACAGATACATTAAAAACGTTTTTAGCTTTATTAAGAATTGTATTTGGGGACGCGTCTCCGTCTCCGGTATATATTATTATTTTAACATTGTCATATTTCTCCTAGACATAAAAATTAATATAAATGAAATTTGTCCATCAATAATTTATCTTTTTTACCTGAAGAGCTCTCACTGCACACCACAGAACTCTTTCGCCACCGCCACCAGCATTACAGTATGGATGAAATATCCCCACGTTCACATAGTGGGGATTACCTTTACGCATTTTCGTCTTTTTCCTTAAAATCCATTTTCTCAAAGTATATAACACCAGGAAAAACAAGAATACTGCTAAAACAAAACCAAGCGCAATAAAATAAATCCTGAAAAATCAATATTTATAATTAAAGTTTGAAACTAAATGAATATCTCACTAACAATTTATATAATAACTCCATTATAAAAATTAACTTTGTTTTAATAATCAACGCAAGCCCAATCCGTTAAATGTACAAAAAATTTTAGTTTTAATTATGTTTTATATCAAAATAATCCCTTTAAAACGTACACATCATCTCGTAATAGAATATAAACGTCAAATTTGTTTACATATCGAATGGCAATTGAATTCAACAGGGATGTCTTTACTAGAAAATATTTAGATTCCTGGTAGGGTACCCTCTAGCAAAATTACCAACGAATTAGAACCACTAAAGGAAGGAGCATCTTAAAAAAACAATGAGACAAATTTTTTCTAGTTGTTAATTTCTTTGCTCCGAGTATTGTCAAAATCGTAATAGGAGCGTATTTATTTTATTTTCTTATCTGGCCTCTACTATACAATATGTGTAATTTGTAAGGATAAGTTAATTTTTTTAAAGTAAAAAGTAAAAAATATTTCAAAATATTTTTTCATCAGATATTTAATCTGTAAAAAAAAGTCAAATTTAAACAAAACTCATTATTTTTTTTCATTTTGAATAAATTTATTTCGTGAATTATAAAAATATAAATTTTGGTAAAATATTTGTAATGCAAACTTCTTTATTAATAATTCCAATCCACTTTCTTCTCACTACTTCTAGGAAAATGTATAAAAAAGTTATTTATATAAAATAATGACCAAATTAAAATATTGTATTAGATTTTAATTTAGAATTTAAGTTTGCAATTATTTGATTTTAACAGCCTGATAGTGTACCTCGTTTTTTTACTCACATTTTATTCACTTTCAAATCAGAATTCTCAGTATTTTCGAATGGATATTCACTTTTCCAATAAGATTGCTCATTTTGTCAATTGAATTTTCGCGTTTTTTCTTAAATTATCGACTGAATGTTTTTTTCCAAAAACACAGTGAATAAATTTTATATGCATTTAAAAAAAAAGAGATACGCAATACCAAATAGTTCTTCTCACTCGAAAATTTTTACAATCATTATACAAGTATATGATAGTTACTTACTTCCAGATAGATGATCTAGCCCTAAGTTTTATAATTATGAAAGTGCTTTTATAATTTTATAATCATTATCAAAAACGCGTTCTTTCAAGTTTTACTTTATATAAAAACGCATAATAAAAATATCATAACGAAACTTGTATTTTTGATGTTCTTGATGCGATGGTTTAGGTAAACAGTGAATTACTTACTAACAACGTGGAAATATTTCCTAATATAACTACTTACTAACAACGTGGAAATATTTCCTAATATAACTAAAATCACATACATACCTAAAAAGAATTACATAAATAACTCTTATATAAAAAGAATACACATATGTAATAATGTTTATGAATTATGAAGCATATTAATTCAACACAGTATACACATGAACAATTTATTAATAACATATAATGTGATTATATAGCAAGTATGCATTGTTGGAGACATTTTATACATACATAATTAGCAAATTTGTTAATATCAAATGTACATTCAACAAGAAAAAGATTGAGTTTTAACTTTTTCTAATAAAAAGTTTCAAAAGAGTTGATCTTGTGGGAGATTTATGATGTTAAAAAGGGCCCTCTATTCCATAAGAATACGTGTACATTCGTCAGCTGTGAACTTTCACTCTCTCTTAGAGTTGAGGCCAGTTTTTCTGTCAGTCGTGCTGTTAATACATACGAAGATGGGTGTACGCCAAGGGTTTTAGTAATTTCATCTGTATTTATTCTGCCTGATGATTTGTCATTTTGAGATAAAAAATTAATATCGAATATTTTTCACTTAAATTATCAGATCAATTTACTTATCTTGCGTAACAAAACTTTAAAAGAATAACGGTATATTTTAAGACAAACCTTATTAAATCTGATTCAGAGTTTTTTGATATGGCAGCTCCGATTTTACATTAGATCAGAGCTGATGCTGTCGCTGATTAATTTTTCAAATTGAAAATATCTTCCTGATAGTAAAAATAACACTAAATTTAGAATTTTTAACTTGGAACCAGTGGCAGAGATTAGCCCAAATATATTAATATTTTTAAAATAAAATCTTAATTTTGCAGATTCGATATAAAAAAATGTTCTAGAACCATTCGAGATTAAGTTAAATTAAATTTAATATTTTAATATTTTCAAAGCAAAATTTTCATTTTGAAGTTTCGATAAAAAAAAATCTTCATGAACCATTCGAGATAAAGTTAAATTAAAAGTGTAAGAAGCCAAATATCATGATTTTAATTCAAACCAAATCAGACACCAAAAAGAAAAACTAATAACAAGCACAACGACATTAGTGCCCTGACAGATGTTTTCCCAATGGAAATTGTACATTTTGCTTGAGTCGCACGCGGCCTCGGATTTGGTTAATGCGTCAGTCAATTAATATTCAACTAATTTCAGCGGAGAATATCAAAAATTTTCTGTTTTTTGACTTTTTGATGTTCTCTTGTGAACCTTGGAAGATAAAGAAAAAAGTGTAAAAAATTCTAATTCTGAAAAACTTCAGTAGCTTAAAAAAACTTAATATCTAAGATGCTTGTCGTTAAATACATTGAAGATACACTATTAAGATACAGATCACTTTTAGGATACATAGATACATTACCGTAAATAAAAGTAATTTGAAATATATATGTATGCAGGTTACTGTGAAATCCAAGAATTTTCCTTTAAATCCTTTGTCATTTCAGTTTACATTTGAATTGTTTTACGTTTTTATTTATTTACCTTCCATTGTCCATTTTTTAACTTTCTCAAAAGTTGAATCTGAAGAGATTCAGAATTGCCAAAATCATTAAAAACACTAGCACAATCGAGCTCGTTCTATTATTTTACAAATTTTTCTGATTTAAAAATAATTTATTTGCAAAAACTATTTAACAATTTTCAAAATTTAATCTTTTCTGCAAAGACACTTTATTAACATTCTCTCAAATATTTCCAAAAGAGACAAATTTCCTATTGAGTAAAAGTACTCTAGGAGAATCTAAAAATTGAAACTCAGGTGTTGTTCAGCTTTGGGTGCAAAAAAATTTTTGTACTGCCAGTCTATTAAACTAGTAGGTCCATTTCTATCTATCGTATCAGAAGTACCAATGAATTAGGAATATTAAAGGAACATTTTTGTTTCTAACTCGCTTGCACTTCGTAAAAGATCTTAAAAAATAATAAAGCCACCTTTTCCTTTGTTCCTAGCATTTTCAAATTAAAATTGACATTTAGGGCCTGATCGTCTATCTCGAGTAACTATCATATATTTGCATAATGTAATTTTTCGAGTGAGAAGAATTATTTGGTATTGCGTATCTCGTTTTTTCTAAAATGTATACAAAATTTATTTACTTTATTTTTGAAATTCCTGAGTGGGTTGGGGAGTAGAAATACCCACAGCAGGCATGCTTGTGGTACGAGTCCACTAAAATCTGGACAAAATTCACACGCGTCTGGTCAAGAATGAACGGTTCCTGATCTGCGTCTGATCGCAGAGGGACGGTAGTGGATAGAACCCTGGCTGGGTTAATAGCCATATAACTTATAAACAAATATGAAGTGTCCAATAATAAGAATATAAATGCTTTAGGGATATCTACCGCATTTATATTCTTATTATTGGACATTTAATATTAGCTTTTGAACTTCTATGACAGCTATATAGTATATAATATTAGCTTTTGGACTTCTATGACAGAAATATATCTGACCTAAAATTGAACACAAGACAGCCAAATTTCATATATCAGGCCTTATTATTTTTCCAAATATTTAGAATTAGTTTTTGGAGTTGTATGGCAGGGACCCGAACCCGTCAAGCAACTCAACCAAAACTTCGAGAATATATCTGATGTATAATTAGACATACAACTGCTTTATGAATATCACTTTTTTATTTTTTCTAAATATTTAAAATCAGATTTTGGACTTCTATGGCACCTATACGAATCTGTCAAGCAATTGCATTTGCATTTGGGGTTGTATGGCAGCCATCCGAACCGGTGCCGTCATCCCATTAAAATTTTTAGAGCTTATGTTAAATGTAGTTGGACGCGTGTCCAATTACATTTTACATATGCATATTTGAATATTCTAATTTTGATTTACATATGCATATTTGAATATTCTAATCTAAATTTGAAGGTATAATATATTCATATTTATACCTTTATTAGTTTTTGGAAATATTTAAAATAAACTCTTTGAGTTGTATAGCAGCTACTTGAACCCTTCGTCGGAATTAGTTCAATTACAATAGGGTTCATCCTTGGTACAAAAGAAACAACTTGTGGAAGTTTGGTGTTGATTGCGTTATTCGTTTTTGAGTTATCGTGTGATTGGATGGAGGGACGGATATGTCCAAATTAACGCAGAATTTTACGCTGAGCAAGAATATATATATATGTCCATACCACAGATGACTCCTTTAAGTAATTAAAACTCCATACCAAAGTTAATATACTCTTCACGAGGTGCAGATATAAAAAGGGATATTTTTTTCGATTCCCTGCAAGCGGGGGATAATAGATTCATACCGGGAGTTGACTATAATGCAAAACATGTGGATTGGTGCTCTTGATTAACCTTAATTAGAAGAGAACTAAGGAAAACCATTCGGGAGTTGCGATGTTCCTGTCATAATACTGGCAGTTCAAGTTAGTGTTCTAGGAAAGCCAACAAAGTCCCGAATCTTTATCGAATTTTTTTTTATATCAGCAAATTCAGTTTTGATTTCAGGAAATTTGTGAACTTGGAAAATGATTTTAATATGAATTCCGATCACTCTACTGCCATACTAACAATTAGTGAGAAAATAGCTAACCAACGAGGTATTCCATTTTAGTCAACAAAACCACAGGTTGGGTAGATTTCAGACATGATATTATTAGAAATATAAGTCCTAATGTTGAACTGCAGACTAGAGATCAACTAGATTCTGAAGTGTAGGGTTTTATTAAACTGATATAAAAAGACGCCTGAAAAAATAAAAGATTCTCTCGTAATCAAGAAGCTTGCATTAAGGATATCCTAAGGATATTACTTTTTTAATAGTATAAAAGTGAAGGGCTAATTTTAAAGCGCAAGAGTCGCGTCACGTAGACGATAAAGTGATTATGAATAGCCGT